GATGGTGCCTGGTCCTGCCATGCCTCCAAGTCTTCAAATGTGCAGAGCTCACCAGCCAACCTCAGACTGGCCCATGCCTATGCCTATTGGCCCTTTTATAAAAATTAAATTTTATTATTATTTTTTTCACATATAGGGTCTCACTCTTTTGCCCAGGCTGGAGTGCGGTGGCCTGATCATGGCTCACCAAAGCCTCAAACTCCTGGGCTCAGGCAATCCTCCCACCTCAGCCTCCAGGGTAACTGGACAGGTATGTACCATGCACATGGCTAATTTTTATATAATTGTTGTAGAGATAGGGTCTTGCTTTGTTGCCCAGGCTTGTCTCGGAACTCCTGGCTTCAACTCCCACCTGGGCCTGCCAAAGTACGGAGATTATGAGTATGAGCCTGGCCGATTCAGGCATCACCTTATTGGACCCTCAGAGTCTGCGTGTCTCTGCTCACCTCTGGCTCCAGCTGACCACACTAGCTGCTGCTCAGTTTCGTACCTGTGGCGGGCTGGAGTGTGGGCTCTGCAACTGGGCTGTTGGGTGTCCCTGGGCAAGTTAGCTGACCTCTGTTTCCTTAATTCTAAAATAAAGATGGCTCTGCCTGTAGTCCCAGCACTTTGGGAGGCCAAGGCGGGCAGATCATGAGGTTAGGAGTTCAAGACCAGTCTGGTCAACATTGTGAAACCCCGTCTCTACTAAAACTACAAAAATTAGCTGGGCATGGTGGCAGGCACCTGTAATCCCAGCTACTCAGGAGGCTGAGACAGGAGAACTGCTTGAACCCGGGAGGCGGAAGTTGCAGTGAGCTAAGATTGCGTCACTGTACTCCAGGCTGGGCAACAAGGCAAGACTCCATCTCAGGAAAAAAAAAAAAAAAATTAGAATGGAGATACTAGTAACACCTATTGCACAGGACTATTGTGGGGATGAAATGATCCGGCACAGAGTAAACCCCTAAGAGGGGAGCTGCTGCTCTTACCAGTTTCTGGTTCTCAGCCCAAGGCCTGGCATAGAGCAGACATACGTTTGTTGACTGAAGACATGGAGGCAATCTATTCCCAGAGGGCCCCCTGTGAGGTCACTGCAGCTGCAGATCCAGGAAACTGGACTGGTTTTTATTATCTTTTTTTTCCAGCAAACTTGCAAATGAGTAGTTGAAACCCTTC